CCCGCCTGTTGCAGGCAGCGGCGGCGGCGCCGGCGCCGAGAGCCGCATCTCTGTCTACCTCAACCGGCTGACGGGCTTCGACCACCAGTGCCGCGTGCGCTACAACGTGGTGCTGGGCGAGGGCGAGCGCCGCCTGGACTCGGGCATCGTCGACGACATCAGCGACAGCGACGGCAAGGGCTACGGCTGGCACCCGCGCGTGCGCTTCTCAGACCTCGTCTACAAGGTACGCCGGAGCCTCGCCTTCCAGGGCGTCGCCGCAGTGCCTCTGACTGCGCCTCTGCTCCCGGCGGTGGCGGCATTTTAGACGCTAGCCACTTAGTTACGTCGAGTTCCGCCGCTGTCTGGAGGAGAATTCCCGCGGCCGGCCGCTCTGATCTGTAGTTTTCCATGGTTTCTCTGATCATACCAAGCAAATGCCGGAGCAGTTACCAAACAAACGGGCAACGGCTCATGTGCGATCTTTCCTTCCCCTTCCTTTCTCCGATCAACACCAGTAGTTTTCCTTGCTTTCTCCGATCAACACCAGGTGAGTGCCGGAGCAGCAACCTAACACACGGTCCACGAACAGTGCTCTACCTTTCCTTTCTCATCCTCGTTCTATCCTCACCCCTTACTTACACATTCTTACTCTTACATGCACTACACTACCGCACAAGCCGGGAGACTAATGTGGTGCTTAGAGATTGTCCTGACTCGGGTGGTGTCTCACTGGTAGCAACCACCAACCACCTCGGAGGGGAAAACCCGGCAAACGGACAGGTAGGTCGGCGCCGTATATCGTCACGCAGGGAGGGAAGATAATCACCACCTCGTGCAATAAAACTCACAGGACTCACTTCACTCACAGGATTAAATGACCATAGGAATTTATGCGGAGGGAATCTCTAATCAATCAATTAAATGAGGCAGTTCTGGCCGACAACTCCTGTCACGGCAGAGTCTGTCTCTGTCGCAAGGACGTTGCATGTGGAATAGCTGAGATAGTTCAGGGTAGAAGCCGTTGACAGAGCAGTGTCCACGACTTGGAAGTCCTAGAGTTTGAGTCCCGACGGTGGCGAATTTTCAACACTATCTTCCAAGATAGGTCGAATTCAGCGACTGCTTCGAGGAGAATTCATAGGACGGCTATTCCGATCTGTATGATTACGTAGTCACTTCTGCAACCGGCTTTTGTAATTTCTAGGCTATCCGGGACGAGCCGCCTCTCTTTCATTGTAGCTGGCATTGTGTCATATTGCAATATATTGTGGCATAATGGCACATATTGTGGCAGACTACCGCAGTACACTCTGAGGATGGCCTCAATATGTTGGCCGAAACGTCAGTCGTCAGAGACGCAGCTCGTCCCGGACTGCCTAGACAACCGTTCTGATCTGTAGTTCAGTGATTTCTCCGATCAATACCAGGAAAATACCAACGCTTAAGAAACGGGTCACAGACAGCACGCGATTCTTTTTACCACATCCGTGCTCCATCATCTCCCTTTACACAAACGCACTTACACATGCATTCACCACCACGGTGATTGGGAAACAAAGTAATATCTCAGAGTTAACCCCGGCTGGGGGAGATACGGGAAAACTCCGACATGCCGACGAGTTAGTCGACGCCACATCTCAAGTTCTGGTGGAAGAGAAATATCCCTACCTGCCGTCGCTAACGTGGCATACCCGGAAGTACAAAAGAATCAACGGGTGCACAAGAATTTGTTTCTTTGCATTGGATTTGAACTTGGTTAACTTGGTTTAAAATAAATTGTCAATGGCAATTCAAAAAGGGACTGGAAATATTTACAAATGTTTCATTAATAATAAGGTTTCATAGAACTAGTACCGAGAATTACATTTCGTATAAACGTTCAATCGAAAAATTAACAGTATGACAAATACTAGTAAAGTTAATTGTTTTTATTCTGAATTATTCTAACAAAAATTAATTAATAAATTTTAGAGTACGTAAATTACAAACAATTAGGTTGGTTTGGTCACTTATATTGTAAGAAATTAACCGTATACCCAAATATATACTTCGACTCCACATGGCAGAAGAAAATGGGAAGACCAAAAAATACATGGAATCAGGAAATTTGTAAATTGCTGGGGGGGGGATGAAAGAAAGGGCTCCTGTGATAAAGAAAAATGGAAAAATTATTAAAATTAGTTTCCATAGAAAATGTAATGTTTCAGCTATGTTACCCATTGAAGAAACAGAAAAATGATTCATTTCATTGTATACCGGTTAAATGAATGAATTATTCTTGCAGATCAAAAATTAATTTTAATATAATTTAAATATATATTTTAAAATATTTCCCAGCTTCGGTGTTCCTTTTGGTTAGTTCTGGCGAATGACCTTTGTCTTTATCACCACTACAATCAAAATAGGATGACAGAGAAAACACAATTTGATATAGTAATAAGATATTCTTTCACGACTTTCTTTGGTCCTAGATACAAATTTCCATCATTAATTCCCATCAACACACTCAACATATTAACAAAATGCTTCGGCATGTGATCTGATCCACTGTTCCGTGTTAATAGGTGAGCTTAAATGATTAATGTAATGGTAATTATCAATCAGAATTGGCATTATGCAGGTTTGAGTAATTTCAATTATTTCTGAATTCCATATGTAATGTAATCAATCGAATGCAATTGAAATGGATACCGTGTGTTTGACAGAGCTTTTTGTACGCGTGCATGCCATAGACTAATTGAAAATATTTTTGTTTATGCCCTCATTGCTGTACAGTGAGTTGTGTATGCCGAAATGTGTAGAACATTATGAACTCACTATTCATTTATACACATGTATTTTGTGTTAATATACAATATATAAACAAATGTTTGCAAAGTGCATGGAAGAGAAAAGTAAATAAGAATCACTGGAACCCAGTTACACGAACAATATATTCAAATATTGTCAAGGTTAGATAATCATATTGCAATGGTTACAGAATAAAATTATACAACACATGGACTGACCGGACGACATCATGAAATAAAGGGTGTTAATACTCACGGAGATATAGAGCTCAATATTTTGCGTTTAACAACATATATTACTATTGTCTGATGCAGACACACTCCTGCAGTTTTACTTTGTTCTTTCAAGTGAGTGCTAATATTTCAATTAGAACGTGTCAATAGAATTATATTAAAACAGCGTATTGAAAGTGTGTGGGGGGCTCGAGTAAGTTATGGTCAGCCGTTATCTACCGACATAAAATGTGGCAAAATAACATGAATTGCCTCTATTTAGTTCTCATGGACACATTGTGAATTGTGACTATTACTCTCCCCTTCCTCTCTTTCTCTCTCTCTCTCTCTCTCTCTCTCTATCTATCTATCTATCTATCTATCTATCTATCTACCTCCCTCTCTGTCTCCACTGTAATCTCTCTCCCTCTCTCTCTCCCTCTCTCGCTCCCTCTCTCTCCCTTTCTCTCCCTCTCTCTCTCCCTCTCTCTCCCTCTCTCTGTATCAATCTGTGCCCCGTTCCTCCCTCTGCCTCTGTCTGCATCCTCTATTTTCATGTGTATCGCTCAAAATCTCTCTTCTCTGTCTCTCTCTGCCTCTCTCTCCTCCTCTCAGCCTTTTTCTCCACTCTTTTCTCTCTCCGTCTTTCTCTCTCCGTCTTTCTATCTCTTACTCTTTCTCTCTGTCTGTGGGCCTCTCTCTGTGTCTGTCTTTCGTCTTCTCTCTCTCTTTCTCTCCCTGTCCGACTCCCTCCCTGTGTCCCAGTGTCTGCCTGTCTGCACAGTAGCTCTATCTGCCTGGGTGCTTGCCGTGCACTATACGCGTGTGTGTGTGTGTTGGCGCGGCGCAGGGCGTGGTGCGCGTGCACCTGGAGATGCTGCTGGCGAACACGCTGAGCGAGCTGTGCCTGGGCACGACGGCGGGGCCCGGCGCGTCGCCCGTGGGCGTGGCGGGGGTGGTGCCGTCGGTGGCGGCGGCGACGGCGGCCGCCGCGGGCAGTGCCGCCCCCGCGCAGTGCTACGACCGCGACAAGCAGGCGTGGACGCTACGCTCCGACTGCCACTCCGACACCGTGCGCCTGCACATGGTCTACAAGGACATCCACAACGTGCCACGCAACCACCTGCGGTGAGTGCTACAGCTAACCCATCTAATGGCTAACCACGCGAATAAATCGGTTGTATCTAAACTTTTATTATGTCTGTCCACTTCTTGTAGATTCTCATCTTTCGGCTAAGGACGGGGATACATCGGTTATATTTAAACTTTTTATAAACTCTCACCTTTCAGCTAGCTACGATTATATTTCAATTTCACCCTTGTCTGTCCACTTCTTAAAGATTCTCACACAATATATGGCCATCGGGTTTAAATGATGGTCTTGAAATTGAAAGAACTAAATTCCAAGACTAAGTCTTGCATTTCTTTATTTAAATTAGTCTCAGTTCTAAAAATACTGTTTCGCTCAATTATAAAATTTCCCCAGTCCAATCGAGTGGCAAATTGTGCGATGCTATCGACTTGTACCCGATCGACGCCGACGCCGACGCTGTCGCCCGACGGCGTCGCAATGGGAGCTAGTGCTATTTTGTCGCGCACTACTCTTACGCAGCATCGACGGCGTTCAGTGCTACTTCTCCGCGAGAGATGGTTCTATTCTGTTGTTGATTTTTTGAAGGTCCCATTTGTATGGTCCGTGCCCGGCCGCCTTCCTCTTCCTCATCAGTCTGTCCAACCTATGTATGGAATCTGAGTTGGATTTAAGGCAAAAATCACAGAAAAATACTTGTAGGAAAATTCAATAAATCGCAGCACCATCACAGGGGAATTTACTTTACTGATAACGTCTGAACCAATGGTCCTATTTTCGATCTGTGAACGACATTTGACGCCCTTTTAAAATAGAATTTACACTACGGAGCCCTTTTTCCAAAAATCCAGCAAAAATTCGAATTTGAAATTAGTTCTCAAACTTCCGTGACAAAATTAAAAAAAACGTGAGCTTATAGCGCGATGGCGACATGCTTCCTGAATCCAACGCCAATCGGACGAATAGGAACGTCGTAAAGTGAAATTTAGGAAAACACCTCGCCACCCCCTTCCCCTTCTGCGCCGTTGCGTCGCCCAACCGATTGTTGTGGGTCCTCTGTCGGCGCCAGGCCAGGTTGTAGGATAACAGAGCTCGTGCGTTAACTCCGCTCATTCTTTCCGGAATTTGACAACGGAAGATCTTAGAGCAAGGTGGAATGATAACAAAAGACCTTTGAAGTAAAATATATCTAAAATAAGAAGTGATGAGATGGAATAATGGTGAAATTTACAGAATTAGTTCCTTTTTTAAAAAAACAGTGCCAAATCGGAATCGATATTTTGAGTGATGCCTCAAACAATTTTAAGATCGCATTCGAAGGAAGATGGAAATATGTGAAAAAGATAGCTATGTACTAGTATTACAGACCGTTTGTCTCGGTCTGTAATAGTAGTATAGCAACTCTAGTTTGATACTTGTGGAAAAATAGATTGAGATGCAATGTGACGAAAGCCTTAAAACGTAGGCTTCCGCGGCCGGATTCAGAATCTACCTGGCGGTCCGGAAGACGCCGCGTCCTAGGCGCTAACGTTGACATCGGCGTCTCCCGGACAGCCAAGTAGCTGCTGAGTCTTATTTGTCTGCATTGACTATCTTTCAGGAACCTTGGCGAATCTTCGCCACTTAACGCGGCTTTCCCCGATTTCTGGGCGTCGTTGTACCGTTTTTGTTAAGTCGGATATGGGGACTCCCAGCCTCTTACATAACGCCGATAGCGAAGTTAACGTCACCACATTTTCTTCGGTGGAGATTTCCGGCTTCGTGGGTTTATTTATAATATTCCCCCAGTCCAAAAGAGTTGCAAACTACACGATACTATCGTTGAACGTCTTGTGTCCATCGTTCGCGCGTCAACGGATCGCCATATCATAGTGAATGTATTAATATCTACATTGTTTTCTCGACCTAACGATAAATAAATTACACATTTTGGACAATTGTCGACCGATTTCTACATGTATCCCGGTTGCTTACTGGCGAGAAAAAGATAAAAATATAATTCTTTAATAGGGGTGGATCCAGAAGATATTTTAGTAAAGGTAATTAACAGCTCGGTTCCCCATAAGTTTATTCAAGTAAAATCACAGCTCATGACAATAAATTTCTTCTTGAAATGACGTCCGATCCGACCTCATAGGAATAATTCTCTAGAAGGTCACGTCATTAATATGTGACAATAATTGTTTTGAATAAATTGCGAAAAATGAGAAAAAGATTGCAACATGTATTACCACTTCCGAATCCCTCACTGTTCTGCTTTATGTTTTACCTACCCTGAACATTTGTTCGCGAAACACAACTGAATCTTATCCAACCTTCGTTCGCAAATATATCTTACTGCGAATAAGGGAACTGAGCAATTAATATTTTTTGCCCTCCGCAATGAGGATGAAGTCCGGAGTTTTGAATCGGCGTTGGTTACGAGAATAAGACATAACATAAACCGAAGATATTTTAACTTCTTTGTCGCGAATTTCATACCTTTCATAATTCCAACTGTTTTCAATAATACTTGCCAGAGTTGTGGAGTTGGTAAGGAATAATAAACCTGTCTCACCGACAATTTGTTTATCAGAGTTGTAAAAATGCAACCTTTCCTGTTTTTAGGCGGCCATTTAGCCGCTTGTAACGTGGCTATAGGAACTCCAACAGGCGGGCACTAATTATGAAGGTATAAAGTCGTTCTTTAGGCATTAGGAGGTCAAGTTCCGTCACGTGACTGATAGTGTATTACGCGTGGCGCTAAAACTTCCTAATAAGAGAGCAGGGAGCGTCACCAGATAACCCAAAGATTAAATTGAAGTAAAATGCACTATGACGACGACGACGACGACGACGATGATGATGATGATGATAATGATGATAATGATGATGATGATAATGATGATGATGATAATGATGATGATGATGATAATGATGATAATGATAATGATGATGATAATGATGATGATGATGATAATGATGATGATGATGATGATGATGATAATGATAATGATGATGATAATGATGATGATGATGATGATGATGATAATGATGATGATGATGATGATGATAATGATAATGATAATGATGATGATAATGATGATGATGATGATGATGATGATAAACGCATTCTGCTGAAATAAAGGTATGTGCTTGAGAAATGTAAATAAATGTCTTTAATGGTAGCGAGGAGCATATAGACATGAGCTCTATTATCCTGATATGCAGTCAACGCTTCCCTGCTTTGCAATGGTTTCATTGTACAAATGATAATTCACTGTCATTATTTTTCGATGTCAAAACTACATTGAAACAAGTGTTTAAATAACGCAGTGAGGTTTTTATAATTCTCTACAAGTCTGAAACTTTCTATGAGAGGTTTAAATTTAGAAACTTTAGTCTTGGATGGATTTTACTCTAAGAAAAGTAAAGCTGTTGTTGTAAATCAACCCAAAAATGACTAAACAAATCATTTAACGCCAAACAAAATGTTTGCAACTAGAAACGAGGTTATTCTTCTATTTCTTAGAAACTAAAATATTCTCTCATACTTCCTTTACTCGTGCACAGATGTAGAGTGCGTTTCCATCTTCAGTGCAGCTCCATCGAATCCGTGTCCAATCCCTTCCGTTGACCCAGCGCGATCATAAATCCGAGGTGAAAGCGAGGCACCTCGCGTTATCCATCACCCGACGCGACACGCACAGTGATCCGAAATAGGCCTAAATGCGGCCATTTTCAAAAAGTCTATTACGATGAATTTATTACAAAATTGTCGATATGAATGAATACGAATATAAATTTTAAATAGTTGTAACTTCCAACGTGTTATGTCGAGACAATTGATCTCGAAAGGTAATTTTTTCATTTGTAATATATTGTTTGAAAGGTGTATTTGTGGTAGGTTTTAATCGATTAGTATAGTTAAAATAATTTGCAGTATTAGCAGAGCATTTTACGTGTAACTTCATTATTTCAAAATCCCTAATAATAAAATGTCCCTGCACAGTAAAATGTATATTGAAATACACTATACTATGTAAACGTCATATCGAGTTGGTATTTTGATCATTAATTCTCACCACGACGTTTTCTTCCTCCAACACGTAGATCAGTCAGAATATCAGCGTTGCTCTTTTCGGTAGGCTCATTGCGTCGATGATTGATTGTTTGTTCTTTCCGGGCGCGACATGGTCGTTAGTCCAGTAGTGTATATTTTTCACACGGTATCTGGTGGTGATCACCCCTTCTAGATGGTACGATCCCACCTAGCCTTTGCATTACGGGGTTCTCTGCAACCAGTTATCTCCCAGCAGCGGGACACCGCCCCAGCGGGGCAAGCTGTAAGCTCCCGACCGGTTTCTCGGTATGTGTGGTAGTGTAATGCATATACGTGTAAGTAAGGGATGAAGATATGACAAGGAAGAGGAAGGAAAGATTGCGCGCGACCCTCGGCCCGTTTATTAGGGTACTACTCCGGTATTCGCCTGATGTTGACCAGAGGAACCACAGAAAGCTACCGATCAAGGCAGCCGCAGCTGGCATCCTTCTCCAGGCAGAGGCTGAATTCGATCTAGCTAGTTTCGAAAATTCGACCCCCGTCGGGACTCAAACCTCAGGACCTTGGGTCAGAGGCGCTGCAGTAACATCAGTTAATACCCAGAGCCGCCTAAGCCGGTCACCCAGAAGATCCTCTTACTGTACCGCCAGAAAAGAAATTTCCCTTCAAACCCTTTTTTTCCTGCTCTCGTCTCGCGTGTTCGGCCGGGTCCCTAGCAGCGAGCATCGCCCCCGGCTGCTGAGCGCCTGCCCGTCGCATTAGTCCTCGCCCCGCGCCTTTGAGCGCCCCCGCCTTTCACCCACGTGACCATTGTGTCGCCTCACTCGCCCACGCGACGCAGGCCACACCCTGGGCAGAGGGTGCGGCTGTGCTGCCCCCACCATATCACCGGGAGCACAATGTACTTTTTCACTTGCTCGATACCGCATACGAAGTAGAGAAAAAGTTATGAAATACACCCCGAAAAAAGCGAATTTTTAGCAGAAAAACTCGCGTTGAGGGTCATGGTAACGAAAAAGTCGATAAATCCAGGTGCTAAATTTAGGGGGGGGGGGAAACGTGATGTAGCCAGAATCCATGTTTTGTAGGTTCTTGATAGCGAAAAGTCGAATCTCTGCAAAATGTCTGACGTCCGTCCGTCTGTCGGTCTGTGCACAATGCTAGCAGCTAAACCGTTCAGCCGATTTTCTCCAAAATTTATATTCCTTAATCGATCTGGATGATGTGGCGGCTCCTTGAAGCCGGTACTTTAATATTGGGGATATGTTACATGAAATCCCTGGGACATTTTCCAAATTTTCAAAAAAATAGCTATATTGTTTTTGATTAATTTTTGCTGTTGTATAGTGTAATGCACGTTTAAGAAAATGGTGCAGGTTTGATATTCGTTGAACATTTTCAAAAATTGTTAAGTTTGTTTCGAAGTGTACCTTCAACTAAAACCTCAAACATAGGGGTTTTCCGTTAATGAAATCTATTTCTTAAAGATAAATTTTGAAATACGTTCACGTACAATTTTTCGAAAAATTGAGTACTTTTCGGGTAATTTTGTGTGAAAATGTTTGTGGGAAAATCACATCCGTGTTTGGTGGTGCGGTGTCTCCGACTCGGAGTTCCTAGGATTTTAATTTCGACAGTAGCGCAGTTTCCACACCAGCTAGATACGTAGGTCGTATTCTATCGTTGTCTGGAGGGGAATTTTATCTTTCAGCTGCTCTTATCGATAGTTTTCCGTAATTTCTCCGTTCACTACCACACAAATGCCTCCACAATGCCTTAACAATCTGGCCATGGCCCGCGCGCGTTCTTGTTTCATCTTTGTTCCATCGTCTTTCCTTACAACTACACACACACGCGCACACTACACTTTCACAAACTCGGTAGCCTAGATGATATTCTGGCTGTGTCTGTCTCATTGAGGGGGGGAAAGATTTCTGAGGGATACCCCGCTAAAACCGGCGTGTACATCGACCCCGGATATTATGTTCCAGCGGGGGAACTTGTCTTATTTGCATTTTTTTTATTTATACAAGTAGTACTATGTACGCAATTTTCTGTTTTGATTCTTAGTACATTATTGTAGACTTACGTAGTTGGATGTATCAAATACAATTTGTATAATCCGATGGCGTGAAAATTTGATAAACCGCATAAGATACTTTCTTCCCTATTTCTTACACCGTAAAAGGTCAATATGCCAATACTTGCAGGCGATAGTGATGACGAAATACATCGCTACCAACAGAAACGAAGCAATGGTGTCACATTTCGAACGACACGACGTGAAAAAAACTTGAAATAGCGTTATGAAATAAGCCCGTGGAAATCCGAATGCTCGATCAGGCAATGCGCAGGCTGCCTCTGCCTCTAATCGCATTCGCGGCCGCTGCGATGGGGGTCCCTGGGCGCTCGCGGCGGTACGTCCCGGCGCCGACCGCGCCGCTACGCAGTGGGTCGCAACAGCAAAATAGGCGCGCAAAGCAATTCACTTAGCAAAGTGGGCAAGCAAAGCAAAGTGAGAAAAAATATGTACGTGTCATTCTAATGAAAATAAAAAGGTTTTCACTCAGCTGAAAAATTATGTTCGTTTATTTTAAAGTTGCATTACCATTTTTATGAGAAAAATTGTCATATATTGGTACTTTTTATTATAAAAAGTATTTAATAACGAGGGTGGACTGTGTTCAGACCACATATTTCTCAGGATATATTGAATGAATCTATATTTTTGTGTAATATTTGTGAAGTATTATTTTGTGTTGCAAGAGGTCTCACTAGAAGTTCCTTAACTCCCTTAAAGACAATATAAAAGTTTGTAATATACAGTAAGAGGGGTGACTTCAAATCGTTCAAACCTTCGTACTCTATATTCGTCATTGTCAATTATTTATAAGCAAAAAACTGTTGTTCGACAGTTTAAATATTTATAGGTTTAAAGTTAACTCATATTTACAAAAAAATCGAAAGAAGTTTTATCAGTAAGAAAGTCATATTTGATTTATGTATGTATGAACTTATCGGCTTTTTATGGATTGATTGTAAGTTGTAAAAAACTCTACCTCATCATCACCATTATCATAGATAGTTCATATATATAAGCAACAGTATTTTGACCAGAGAAACTACCACCCATTCAGAGCACTTTGAAATAATCATTCTATTTACACCAGTGAATAGGTGCCACTTTACCAAAAAATATCGTATTTGTAATAAATTATTGCGACATTTCCGTACACTGCC